TTGCGTGATCAAGCTCTATTTTCACTTTATTTTCAGGATGGTTTATTTATTTGTGCTTTATTATCTTTTAAAAGATGAAACTGGCCCCCATGTGATAAAGTCCTCAGCAAGGTCTCTGAACACATAGGCAGGAAGACACATGTCTCTACATTGTCAGCATTATAACAGAGGTCTTTAGCAAAGGGTTCTGGGGGAAAAGTCAAAAGCATATTTCTAGCAATTACAATTGGCATATATTGAGTACTATAGCACTAATTTTTATTACCCTTCTCAATATCTCTTTTCATCCATCTCATTATGATGTTGTCATGTGATGTCAAAGTCAATTTTGACTTATGATGACCCTATGAATGAGGGTCCTTCACCATATTATTAACAGGTTCAGGTCTTGCAAACTCACTGTCTCCAATTATGGTATTAAATTTGTCTCACTGTAGATTGGATTGGTTTCAGTAAAAATGTGCACAGTTTGATTCTAATTTAGGAGATTGTCACACATGTTAAAAGTGTGACTTACCTCTCCCAAAAGCTCCTGACTTTGAAATGGTCACCAAAGTGCATTAAGGGATCTGTGCTGCAGCCAGGCTGTACTCGGATGGTAGATTTGGCGACAAAAGCCACATGATAGGACCCAGATGCATCCGAATTAGACTTCTTCAATTTGGGAGAGGTAAGTCTCATTTTTAAGATGTGTGATAATCTCCTTAGTGTTTTGTGTTTTCATTCCATGGTGTGCTGGGGAACTGAAATATGGTCTTTGTATGTCTTGTCAGCTGTAGCAGATATATTTCTTCCAAAATATTGTTAAAGCTATTTTAGCTTTAATAAAGAGAGGAAAGCTTTTGCTATCTTCCTCATGAAAACATCTGAATTTAGGAAAGATGCCATAAGCAAACATGCAAAAAAGATTTCAAGTAACTGGATTAAAAAAAATTAAAAAAGCATTTTGCAGTTCTGCTTACTGATATTTTAAAATTGCTACAAACTTTTCACAATATAATATATTGTAAATCCATTTCTAAACCACTTCCCCAACAATAACTGAATATAAGAAATAAGAATTAGGATTCAACTGAATATAAGGAAGTGAGATTTTACTTTTGACACATATCTTATTCAAAATTTATTTTCCTTGTAGCTACAAATTCTAGCCACTAGGCTGAATCTGGGCTTTGTCTCTCACTACCCATATGTTTACACCAGACACATTGGAATGAAGGTGACTTAAGTTTGACATGACTAACTTATTGTCCTTGATAACAGTGGGTCAACTCTAAATGCCCTTTCACTCCACACAGTTATGTCACTCTGAATTCACTTTAGATGTCATGAGTCATTCCTATGAAATCTTGAAATTTGTGTTTTTAGGGAGGGGTATCAGAAAAAGGAGAAATGGAATGATTCCCAATAGGCAAAAGAGTGAGGTATGTTATCATCATACTTGTTTAACTTGTATATAGAAAATATCATACAAAGAGCAGGACTAGGCACAGAAAAGGGAGGAGTGAAGATAGGAGGAAGGAACATCAACAATCTAAGATATGCCCACAACACAATATTAATAGGGGAAAACATCAATGATTTGAACCAATTACTTAGGAAGGTCAAGAAAAAAAAAGTACAAAGGGTTGGCCTGCTACTGAACACAAAGAAAACAAAAATAATGACCACAGAGAACCTAAATAATTTTGAATTAGACAACGAGGAAATTAAAATAGTCAAAGATTTCTTGAATCTTGAATGAAACATGGCCCATAATGGAGACTGCGGTCAAGAGATAAGACTAGGAATTGGAAGGGCAGACATGAAAGACGTAGAAAATATCGTGAAGAGTAAAGGGATATGTAACTGAGCACCAAAGTTAGAATCATCCAAGCCATAGTATTCCTATTCACTATGTGTCAATGTGAGAGCTGGACTGTGAAAAAAGCAGATTAAAAAAAATCAACTCATTTCAAATCTAGTTTTGGAGAAGAGTGCTGAGAATACTGTGGGTAGCCAGAAAGACAATAAATGGGTCCTTAAACAAATCCTTGAGCCAGAAATACTCCTGGAGGCCAAGATGATTAATTTTAGGCTGTCATACTTTGGCCACATCATGAGAATACATGACTCACTGGAAAAGACAATAATACTGGGAAAGGTTGAGTGTAGAAGAAGGAGAGGTAGACCACACACCACATGACTAGACTCAATTAGGGAGGACACAGGCATGAGTCTGCAGTAAATGAGCAGAGTAGTGGTGGACAGAGAGATTTGTACATGTCTCATCCATAGGGTTGCCATGAGTTGAAGTTGACTCAAGAGCAGCTGACAACAACAAATCTAGAATTCTCAGACAGTTTTAGGGTCTCACCAAACTAGGAAAATGGAGATTCCATATAATGGAATGGCCATTAAATTGGAATAATTAAAGTGATATATGTAGTGGTCCTAAAAATGATTAAGTCTAGTTCCAACTCACTGTATGGAGTCCAGAACAATCAACTAAATTATGTAACTATAATGTGAATAAAGATTTGTACACACTTGATGGTATGAAAATGATAATTCATTCAGACAATCCTTATCATGAGGAAAAATACTGCAGTGGAAGAATGGGTGAAGAAGACACTTAGGAATCTCAAAGTTACATATAGTGGCATTTCTTCCTAATGAGATGGGTTTTGAACTGAATAATTGGCAGGAGGAGAAAAAAAATCTAATTAATTGTAGTTACTAATTACTGAGCTCTGCATGAAAAGATAGCTAGAGTCCTGGTGTCTAGTTTTCACTTCACTTTACTTATTTTTTTGTATTATTATTTTTTTTTTTGGCAAGCATTGTGTGTTTCAGGGTTACTTTATATAATAATAATAGAGAAAAGATTACTACTGTCTGAAATAGCAGAGTGTTTTACCTATTAATCAGTTATCAATCAGTTATCTTTGCTTATGTTATACTTTTCCTACATGGATTTTATTCTAGTTATGTCACTATCTAGCTCTTTGTAATCTGACTTTGTAGAACTGGACTATATAAGTAGTAGGATCCAAACAGTAACAGAAATCTTGTTTACGCAATGAAAGCTGATGTGTGCAATGTCAATGAGGAAATAAATCTGTTCTCATTTTCAATATGAATTTTGAAGAAGCTATTCAAGAGAGCCAGTGTGCTATAATGGTTTGAGTGAAAGACTATGGATCTGGAAGTTTCAATTCCCACTCAGCCATGGAAAATCACTGGTCGACCTTGAGCAAGTCACATACTCTTAGCCCCAGTAAAACTCATTATAGGGTCACCTTAGTGTTGCTTTAAGTTGCAAACAACAAAGAAATTCATAGTGCAAAACCCTGTCCCTAAAATAGATTCAGCACCTTACTAAAATTCAGATGAAGACCCAGAACACATTCATTGCCCCATTCCCAAGAGAACCACCAGTTATCAGCCACACCAAACTATGTTTTCCATAGAGAGCGATGACATCAGAGCCTCTAAAGAACCCAAAGTCCTGCTAGAATTATACCACCAAACTGGAAAAGAAAGAGGAACAGTTTTTTTGCATGGTCACGTTCATTCCTGACCTATAATGGTTAGATTTATTTTGCCTTTCTTAAATTGTTTTTTGACTATTCATTACAATGAGTTTCTTTAAGTGTCTATCCTATTCCCTCAAGCCAAGAAACAGGCAAGATGCAACAGCAGCTACAACGATGGGGACTTCAGGTTCACTTACAATTATTATTATTATTATTATTATTATTATTATTATTATTATTAGCGGTATTATTTTCTTATATTCTGCCTTTCTCCCAATACAGGGACTCATGTCAGCAAACAACAAGTATAAAACAATACAGTTTTAAAACAGCACAATATTAAAATATATAAATATAAAATTTAAAAAACAATTAAACAATTTTATGAATTAAAACAGTTATAAATTAAAATATAATATGTTAAAATACAAACCATTAAAATTTGTATAGCTTAACATTAAAAACCCAGTCTTGATCAGCTTAAAAGACCTGACTACACAGGAATGTCTTTACCTGGTGTTGGAAGGATAGTAAGGATTGTGCCATCCTGGCCTCTCCAGGAAGGGACTTCCAAAGCTTGGAAGCAGCCACATAGAAGGCCCTCTCTCTTCTTCCTACTAAACATGCCTGAGAGGATGGCAGGACAGAGAGAAAGGCCTCTTTGGATTATCTCAATACTTGGGGGGGGGGGTTGTAAAGGGAGATATAATCCTTCAAATGGCCAGGACCCAAGCCAAGTTATATGCACAGAATATATCATACGCATGCACATACACACCTGATCCTCTTTTTGACTGTTGTTGTTGTTGTGCCTTCAAGTTGTTTCTGGCACCCTAAGGTGAACCTATCACAAGGTTTTCTTGCCATGTTTCTTCAGAGGGAGGTTGCCACTGCAATCCTCTGAGGTTGAGAGAGTGCGACTTGTCCATAGCTGAGCAGGGATTCAAACCCTGGCCTCCAGAATCAGAGTCATATGCTCAAACCACTACATCACACAGCCTCTACTGATGCTAAATCTCCAGTGGTGGAGAGGTAATGTCTATGGAAGTTTCTGCAAAGCCAGTGTGTGAACATTGAAGGACAGACCTTTCTCTTCAACCCCAGTAGAGGAATATCTGAAAAATCTATGGCTGAGATGTCTTCCAATGGAGCCCAGGACTGCAATTTGTTAACATTGTTCCAGATTCCTTAAAGTGATTGGCAAGCAATTCTCACATCAAGATTATCTTTAGATTTCCATGTGATTTGATTGGATAGGTATCCAAGGGCCTTTGCAGACTGCCAGAAATAGTGCAAATTGAGTCCACTTTAAGGGTTAGGGTTAGTGCTAGGGAGTCATGGGAATTATTTTTTTCTGAGACATTGAGCCTTTTCTGTCAGAGAACTCTGGTGCCACAATAAAATACAGTTCCCATAATTCCCTAACCCTAACCCTTAAAGTGGACTCAATTTGCACAATTTCTAGCAGTCTGCAAAGGACCCATGTTTATATGCAGTTTCAGCTAGGTGTGTAGTGAGGAACTGGGGCTGACTGTTTCATTGCAATTTGACCACTAAAATGTCTTAACTGCATAAGTAGGAACACTCAAACCTGAATTCTGGGAACAGAGGGAGTTGTAAAGACTGAACATCATAACAGCTGTACAAAGAACATTTCATACAAAATAACTTCAGTGTTCCTCTATGACAGATGAGTCCAGGTTTTCCTCAAGATGAGTCACCTGAAATTAGGGCTGGATTAATTTGAAAGATAAGTGAACCTTAGGGAATCTTAAGTTAAGAACTGAATTTGTAATGAAATTGCTATCAGCCAAGTTTCATTTGATTTGGAGTTTGCTTTTAACATTTTGCACATGAAGTACACTAATATATTGGCTGAAAATTTAATTCCTGAATATGATGGTTGGGGTGGGAGTAGGAGAGAAACAAATGCATTTGGTATAAATGAAATTAGAAAAGTCAACATGAATAATGATGGGAGCATGATCTAACAAATTTATTTTTAATAAGAACAAAATGAACATAATAAATGAAAACCACAAGATATAAACCAAGATAAGTTTGAATGGCTGTACAGATGGCAAAATCAATAACTGGAAGAGGAGAAACTAGAAGATGGAATACCAATGATAATAGATCTGATTACTATGAAGGTCAATAGTTAGTCCAATGATACCATACAGGGATGGTTCCAATGTGTTCCAAACCTAGCAAGGTGAAGTTATTTCCATAGCTTCTGCAGACCTACCAGCAACAGTTCTATTGTTAGTAAGCCTTTGTTGTGTTCATACCTGGGTAGAACAAGAACCAATGTAACTTAACGTACTGTGATACCCTGGGCTTCTCAGAAAAGCTGATAAACAGATTAATATTATTAAATAGTTAAGCAAACGTAGATTAGGAACTGGTAGAGTAGTAACATACTAGCCAGTCAATTCTCTCCTGCTATTTAACAATCCTGTAGTTTAAATCAGTAGGTAGTACCTGCCTCCAGTTTTCTGGGTTATTATAGGTTAAGTGAAGGCCCAGCACTAAACCTGGGGCAACACAAAACTTATTTGCATTGGAATAGTGATCACCTTGGTTGTCACCTTAACAGAGAGGTATGAATTATGTGATAATCAGATGTTGTCCTACAACTCCCAGCCACCCCATCTAGAATAACCAATGATGCAGAATACTGGGAAGTGTAGTACAACAACATTTGGATGGTCACACAGTTCTCACCCTGAGTTAAATGAAAATGGGAGCTCACTATGGGTGAGTCTGCACTGGTCAGAATACTCTGCGCTGCTCCCAGAGTATTTTGACCCTGAAGCCTGAATTACTTCTGCACCCCACAGCAATACCAGGTGGTTGTCTACACACATGTCCCACTATGCCACCCAATGCTACCAGTGCTGAAGTTGAAAATGAGGCTTGCAGCATTGATCACATGTCTGGGAACCTCATTGTGACTTCAAAATGAGTGATTTGCACCAGTAGAGGCAGCATGGGGCAACACAGCAGGATGTGCATATAGACAGCTGCCCAGCATCACGGCAGAATGCCTGGAAAATCCAAAGCAAAAGGTAATTTTTAAAAAACTCAATTTAAAGGAGGGATGGTTTGCAACAGTTCCACACTTGAATTGGGGTTTTTGCCCTGCATCATGTGAATAGGATGAGATGAGGGCAGACAAAAACTGGTGTAAATGGCCTGTGTAGGCATACCCAAAGTCAATGTAAATAGATTTCGTGTTGCTCCAGGCTTAGTGCCAGGAGTTCACCTAACCTGAAATTATCCAGAAAAATGGAGGATGGTACTGCCTACTGATTTAAACACCAGGATTTTTAAATAGCACAACAGAATGGATTGGCTACCAAGTTACTACTTTGTAGACCCTCAGTGTATGGCAAAATTTGTCTGTCATTATACTGAAAAGTTCATTTTATCAAGAAATTGAGCTATACATTTGAAAATGAGAAAAGGGGGAAAAGAGAAATGGGTATGTAAGTGATATAATCAACAGAAAGGGTGAGATATCTATTTTTTTTATTATGTTTGTTCCATGCTGGTTCTGGGAAGATTTTTTTAAAAAAATCAGGGGAGTTAAGCATTTTTTTAGAGAAGTGTATTATTGGCTCCATGTCCTATATTTTAAATGCATTCCAAAATGTTCACAGTGCATTTTTGAAATGTGTACATGTTCTTGAACACATTTTTTTAATGCAGAGTACACAGCAAGGCCAGAAATATATGAATTTCCTATCAGACATTGCATCCACTTCTGTGCTTCTTTAGGAAGGTTCAAGATTCAATAACTCCATTTAAAAAATAACTTAACAGAGAAAATATCTCCCTATCCCTGTTCACCAGCGATAAGATATCTTTATGATAAGATCTGTGAGCAGATCCACATGATATATATTTTATAGCAATAGCAATAGCAAGTACATTTCTATACCACTTATCAGTGTGCTTAAGCACTCCCTAAGTGGTTCACAGTGTGTAAGCTAATTGCCTCAAACAAGCTGGGTACTCATTTTAGTGATCTTGTAAGGATGCAAGCCTGAGTTGAGCCTGAGCCCTTGGTGTACAGTGAATTGAATGCTCCCACTAGTTTTCCTCCTATACATAATACATAATGTAATAATTGTATTATGTATTCATTCTAGTTACACTTGGCTTGATCCACACTCTCTAACTGGCTGTAATCAGATTGGTTAGGGACAGTACAAGAATAACTGGAGTGGGATGTTCCCATCTTGTCACATCCCACTACCCTTTTTCTCTACGTTTCTTCTATCCTGACATGATACCACAGCCCTTACAAACATGGAATAATGGCACCTTACTACAAGTAAGTGGAGCAATAGACTGCCAGCCACCATCAACTTGGTAAATTGAATTATTATCCCTGATCAGATATCAGTACGTGGCTATCCTGGAGTACCCAGGTGTGCTTCTTTAGAGTCATATAGTGTATTAATGAACCCTGTCACCATTCATATAAAAAACAATAATGTATGTATGTATTTGCTGTGTGACGTGATCTAAGGCATGCAGCAGTTTGTTGCACACTACCAGCATGGGATAGTGGTTTGAGCATAGTACTATGACTATGGTTCTGATCTCCATTCAGCCATGAAAACCACTGGTTAACTTTGGGCAAGTCACACACTCTGAGCCTCAGAAAACCCTGTGACAGATTTTCCATAGAGTTCCATAGAAACGACTTGAAGGCACACAACAACAAACTCTGAAAGTTATGAGAAAGGAGCTGGTGTTAATAACCTATCATGAGCAACAGGAACATCCTTTGCATGGTCCCTTTCATGAAAATGTCCAGAAGTTATCTAACTAATGCAAGACATGGGGGATGAGAAAATGGAGGAGTTTTGTGAATGATACAATACCCATTCTACCATTTAATCACAATGGATTCAGAAAAAATAAAAATCCTTTGTGGCATGGTGAAAAGATGAAACTGACGATACTTGAGACAATTATAAATGTCCAGATTTATTATGAAAATGTTATGGTACTGGTCATGCTAGGAATGGCTACTTTTTTTTAAGGTGATAGCATGCATCATGTGATTTGAACATAAAAGGGGGGGGGGAAACAACTGTATATACCAAGCCACTGAAATCATTCTATTTTTTTCTTGTCTGGATCAGCCCAGAGATATTGGTGCTAGAATGCAGTGAACAAAAAGAAAGCATACACTTCTACAGCCAATGACCACTTAACTCTTGATGTTTACTTACATAAGCTCTGGGAAGGGGCAACCTGATCTTTCAAGAGTTGTCTGCCTCAAATAACTATTGTATTTAGACCACCAATGAAACCTAGGTGCTGTAGGTTATATTTCAGAGGAAGGAACTGGCAAAACCAACTCTGAGTAGTCCTTGCCTGTGAACACCCTATGAAAAATCCATGGGGTCACCATAAGGTGACAAGTGACCTGAAGGCACTCCCATACACATAACCTATATAATTTCTTCATTCCACAGCCTTTTGCACAAGTCAGCTAGCCTGAAGAATTCTAGACATCATCTCTGTCCAACAATTGACTACTCTTGTACAGTGAACCCATTGTGATTAAATAGAAGAGCCCTGGTGGCACAGTGGTTAAATGCCTGTCCTGCAGCCACTCACTCATAGACCACAAGGTTGTGAGTTCAATACCAACCAGGGCTGAGGCTCGACTCAGGCCTGCATCCTTCCGAGGTCACTAAAATGAGTACCCAGATTGTTGGGGGGCAATCAGCTCACAGTTGTAAACCACTTAGACATCCCATGGGCGATATGAAGCGGTATATAAATGAAGCTGCTTTAAAATGAGTACCCAACTGTTGGGGGGCAATGAGCTTACAATTGTAAACTGCTTAGACATCCCATAGTGTGATATGAAGCGGTATATAAATGAAGCTGCTTTGCTTTGCTTAAAATTTCCATTAGGATTTCCAGTATTCCCCCTGATATAATTCAAGGAGTCACCATAAATTAATAGGT